GAGTTCTAAGTATTCGTAGAGTTTAATAGACTAGACTAGTGGATGAGAAATATACCTGGAGACGGCCGAGGGTCTACTCTATATACGCTTCAGTGCGTAAAGCACGCAAGAAGGTGACGATGTCACCGTTGACTGCGGGTTGTTCGGTCCGAGTCCGACGCCACGGACATTTGTAATCAGCATAATTGGTAAGTCATATGGAGACCCCGAGTCGGCGCATTACGGAGATAGGAAATTCGACCGAAGCATTGCTCTCTCCTCGCCGTGCTGGTGGTTCATGGCAATTCGAAACTGTAGATGTTCTCAACTATCCCGTACAAATTAGCGGTTTCTTCTTACAAACCACATATTGACGAATAGAGTGGATGTATAAGCTATAAAGCAAATAGAATCTGAGGGAATCATGAATGTGATTACGATTGCTATCGATGGTGTGCTGTTGTGCTGCTGAGTGATGCAACAACGCGGGGTATACTGCATACCAAGCGACTAAGGGTACCTAAATACCTGTTCACAACAAAGAAGAATAGCTGCGGAATTGAAAATGATATTCGTAATGATTTTATTATTAGCATATGACGACCATACCCTGACAAATAATAGTCCGCTGTAAATGAACGCAGGTTATGCAGTTGATGGTATATAAGTGCTGTGTTGAATAAACCGGTTTTAGATCCCTGAACACCGTGTAATAATTCCCCTTAGAGGCGTTGAACCTACTGAGACTCTAATGTTAAATGCAATTGACTCCCTTTCGTAGTGGTGAGCTTGATGTTGAGATCCCACTCTAGATGCCGTTACGCCTTATATGCACATATGTAATAGAAATGGCGACGTAAATACCTCCCGGACTTGGATTTACCTGTATCCTCGGTTTAATCCAACCAGGCTTAGAAACTCGTTACGGGTCTTCTCTTTTCGCTCGAAGCACCCGAGTACACAACTGGTAATTGTGCTGGTGGTTGTCTTTTCGACTCCTCGCATAACCATGCAGAGATGGCTTGATTCCATGACGACTGCCACTCCTTGGGGCTTAAGGACCTCCATGATGGCGTTGGCAACTTCCCTGGTCAGTCGTTCTTGAACCTGTAGCCGACGGCTGAACATTTCAGCAATGCGAGGAAGCTTAGATATGCCGATCACATTTTTGTTTGGGATATATCCAATGTGCATCTAGGATTGCGTTAGAACAGATACAGAGAAAAATGTCGATAGAGTATACCTTGCCAAAGAAGGGGACGAGATGATGTTCGCAAAGACTAAATATCTCAATATCCTTCACGACGACCATCTCGTTATGATTCTCGTGGAAGATGGCATTGTTGACAATATCTTTGACGTTTTGCTGGTACCCCTTTGTAAAGAACAGCATAGCCTTCGCATATCGGTCAGGTGTAGCTAAGACGCCTTCTCGGTCTGGGTCTTCGCCGACGCATTCTAAAAGTGTTCGGACAGCACCTCGCATCTTTTCGAGTCTCTCGGCTGCTTGTTCCGAGGTTTCCTCGAGTCGCTCCCGGGTTCCAAGACCTAAATCACGTCAGCAAAAAGTGGTTTGTTTAGCGAATCGCTTCGTTTACGAACTCGGTCGGCTTAAACCATCGAAATCAATGACCGGACTCGGCGATCTCGTCTCTGTCTCCTCCACTTCAGATTCAGATTCTTCCTCGACTTCGATTCTTGCCTTCTTTCTCTTCTCTTTCTTTTCTTTCTTTTTGGGTGGCTCGTCTCGGGGATCCCGAGCTGCTTTGCTTATACTATTCTTCCTACTCGACGAGCCGTTGCGTCCATTTATCTCGGATATCCCCCCATCCTTGGCTCTTCTTCTCTTCTTCTTCTTGCTTGCATTCTTTTCACTGCGACTCTCGTCCTGTACTGCATTTTCGGTACCACCAACTGAATCATCTACGTCTGAGACATCGGTAGTAGATCTACTGGAAGAACGAATCGTCGCGGCTGACTCTCGGTCGTCTTGTCTGGGATTGGCAAACTGCACCATCTTTAACTCCGTCTATTCTTAAGAGTAATTTTTGGAAAAGTGACAGGGCACAGGTAGTCTTAAGGTTGATGGGGGTAAAGACGATTCGTCATTTGGCCTTGTTGTGTTCAGACTGAGATCCATGGATCCAAAACGAAAAGAAAAACCGTAGCTTGGAATTCCAATCCACTTAACCAATTGAGGCACAGACTTTTATAAGAAGGTTCAGGATTGATCCGATTGAATAATTGGGTAAATACAAACAGTCTTCAGAGCATGGGATGGAAGTAAGCTCTATGCTGCTTAGCTCATAAAATTCAACTGAACAAAAGTCTAGCTTCCCCAATTGTCCGTTATCGGGTGGTTATCGTTTTCTAGATAGGGTCTTTGGAAAACTCGCGGGGCAATTACCCCACCTAAATGCATTCAAGGTTGCATCCAGTTGGGCGTACTAAATAAATGTACTTAGGTACGAAGGTCGCCGCCAAAAGTTTTAAGCATCCCTTGGACCTCTACACAGTTCGCGACAAGACCGGCAGCTGATAATTTACTGTATTATTTACCTGCTAAAGCGCTACGCCTGATAGCGGTTTTTGCGCTAGAGCTCAGTGGACAAGTGCTATACTTCCGCTATATTATAGCAATATCACGCTGGAATTGATGGCGCTAACCCACTAAAGGTATAGTGGTACAGTATAAAGAAGCATTCTGTTTACACTGTATGGAGGTCTAAGAGATGCTTAAAACTTTTGGCGGCGACCTTCGTACCGGACTTACTAATATGTATGTATGTGGCTTATATGCATGTGGCTAAGACTTTCTCCGTGTACTGGCACCTAATTGGCAGAACTGCATGAACGCGTCTGTGGGTCAAGCTTCGTCACTCAGCTTTATCGGTCGCTGCGATTTAATGTAATTAGCATCTTCGTCATCTACCATCCCGACTGCCCGACCAACACAAAACAATACATTTCTTGTCGCTAATTTCTACCTCTATTCAATATCCCTCCAAACTGTGTCAATAAACTTGAAGCAATCATACCCGTTGTTCTCCATCTATCAAAACACAGAACCTGACTCTTACACACCACCGCTACCCCCTAGCCCGACACCATCACGGTGTCTAAACCATCAAGTGGGCTTGACTAAACTAGCAGTTCCATTCAATATGGCGTCTCCTCCACACGCCTACTCACCTTCGGGCTCCCCACCGTATTCTAGCGCGCAGTTACCGTTGAAGAAGCGCGGCTCCACGGGTGCTGATCATCCAGTTCAGCCACCCTCCAAGCGGCGCAAGCCTTCTACTATGTCCCAGACCTCCCAAGGTTCAGCGCATCCTCTCCGACAGACGTCCTTCCCGCCCGACGAAGCGCAGCAGAAATTCTCCCCGTCACTTCGACGGTCGCCGAGCATCGACACCATGAGTTTTGTTAGTGGGAGCCAGGTCAGCGGTGCGCCTGCAAAGAAGAAACGGGGTAGGAAGTCGAAAGCAGAGCGCGCGAGCGAAGCAGCTGCCGAAGCGCTGCGGGATGGTTCACCTAGTGTTGTAGGGGGTCGCGCGCCGACCGTGGTCAGTGGTGTGAGCGGCAGTCATGCTAATAAAGACGGCGACGGCGGCGCAGGGAAGGAGGAGGAATTCGAGATCCCAGAGAACATGGCCAGCATGTCAGCGACGCGCACCAAAGAGCAGCTAGAAGAGGAGAAAGAGCTTCTTGCGCTGCTGAAGACCCAGATGGATTCTCAGCAATTCGACCGTTACGAGGTCTGGCATCGTCAAACTCTCAAAAGTTCCGATGTCAAAAGGGTAGGCTGCTCCATTTTATGGTATGGTCCTCGCGATTCAGCTACAGCTAACTATTTTCGTACAGCATATCAATAGCGTCACCTCTCAATCCTGTCCACCCAACGTCCACCAGATGATGCAAACTGTTTGCAAGATGTACCTCGGCGACATAGTCGAGGCGGCGCGAGAGGTACAAGATGAATGGGTACAGCTGGGCGAAAAGCAGACCGATCTACCCGACGACGAACTACAGCCTATGAACGAACTATCGAAGCACCGTCGACAAGCTCCGTTACGTCCTGAACATCTCCGAGAAGCATACAGACGACACAAGACGTCTACCGAACATGGAGGAGCTTTGGGAAGCTTACTGGTGTGGAACCAACAAACACAGAACGGCGCCGATCGATTTGCGGTAAAGGCTGGAGGACGGCAGATTTTCAAATGATTGGTGTTGCTACCTGTCGATTCCTCGGTCCTCTGGGTATATGCAACTCCCAAGACTGGAATGCGAAGGTACCTTAATGACAAAAGGAAATCGCATCATGATGCTATTTTCCTATAATTATGTCTTGAAATAATCTCAAGACCTGCTCACCTTACTGCATATTGTCGTGTCGATCGACTTGCAAGTATCTTAAAATACCCAACATAGCCAAATCTGCAGTACTGTCTTGATATTTAATCAAGATCGGAGGAATAGATCAGAACGCATGAATCTATCAGTAACGCAGGCCTCTTCAGGCGAGTTTATCTGCCCTGACTCGATTTAACAAAAGGCGAACAGACAGAGGATAAAGCAGACTCGGCTCTGTTCAAGGGACAACGAGTGTATTGCATCTTAGCCATGCGATAAGAATGAAATAATTCCATGAGATAAGACCTCTTTTTGGTACGGACAATGTCTAGTAACTTTGAGGATTGAGGCTTTTCACTAGGTACAGAATGGTTCATATGCGCCTGATGCATCCATGGTAACCATGAGGATATCTACAAATAAATGTTAAAGAAACAAAACGAATATCCTCCAGATTGTCACTGTTCGTGCATGCTCTGCTTTAGTGGACCTCATTACGATGCTTTAGATTTTTACCTTCGCTGGTTCCACATACCTCCGACATTCAAATAATTCCAATTTTGGCGGGGATATTTGCAGTGTTGTGCACGTGATACTGTGGTGGGGTTATAGTACAAATCTACAGCGAATCTGCCATCGGCGATGAGATTTAAAATCAACCATCAGCCCTTATAGCTCAGTGGTAGAGCGCAGCACTTGTATCTCCATCATTACAAGATAAATGCTGAGGTCCATCGTTCAATCCGGTGTGGGGGCATACAAAACCGTCGTTTACTTTTGCGATTTCCACCTTCTGTTTACTTTTTATTCTTTAATTCTTAGTCCTTGTTGTCCATCTATCCATCCATATTCACCGACGAGTTCCTCTTTATTTTATTCCATCGTTCGTCCGATGCGTTGTTTCATAGTGTAATCATAATAATAGAGCTACTTGTACTTCTAATATTCTTCTACAATGTCAAAAAAGAAGAGGTCGCAAGAAATCAATAAATATCCTGATGTGATGCCACAGGATCGCCGGTCGAAGTCCGCCAACATCGGCCGCCTGTTCTGTTTGCATCTGGCTCACGATGCAACCCGGGCCAGGCAGCAGAATTAATTCTCGTTTCACCGTCACATCTACGTTTCGGTCCCCAAATTCGAGTCGGCAGTGTCCGTCCGTATGATACCACCTCTCCCGTATCTAATTAGCCAGGCGGCACAGGGGACAGACAGACAGACAGCCCTCTAATTATTATCTCCTGTTTGGTTGATAGCGAGCCATCGTGGGGCTGTAGCTGGAGTGGGGGTTCGAAACACACAGCCTCGATGAGCAGCAACAATAAAGACCGATTAAGTATGTTATTTTATCTCCCCGTTTTCCTATTTCAGTATCTGTCAGCCAGGAGCAACAGTTCATAGGTTGAATGAGGTCTTAGAGTAAAGCGTCAAGGGGATAAAATAGCGTACCCATTCTGAGAATCTTGCTCGTTAAACCGTCAAGTTAGAGTTATTCTTATTCTGCTGCCTGGATCATGATCTGGGAAATATGGGGATGCACCTCCAACCCGGGCGTATTCCATCGCCAATCACGAACGATGGAAGAATAAATGGATCGGCACGTTGATGCAGAGGCTCGAAGGAATTTCATTGCAGACCTTTTGCATCCCCCTGCTCCCCCTAGATCTATTGGGAAGAATGGTAGTCGATCATCGTACTTACAACCTCGTATCAGACATGGGACCTATTTTTGGGGCGACAACCCGATGATGGTTGGTTGGGTGGGTGTCACGAAGAATATAACCCGTTGAGGGCCCAAAGTGACGTGCAAGTGAGAGTGGTGAAAAAGTTCCAGTCTGCTTACACCTACATACAGCCCGTCCAAGCAGTAGACCAAGATTCATTCTTTCCGCGTGGTAAAATAGGGAAATTCTCAACAACAAAAATCGCGACCATGTCTTTCACTCAGGCAAGACGTGCATCTGTCACCGACAGCGAACTCGGCAAGGCGGACTCTTACACCCACAACATGACGAGCGAACCGCTACAGTACTATCCACCGTTGCCGAGATGGGAGAAGGCGAAGACAGGTCTACGTGTTACGTCGTTTAGCCTCGGTATTCCTCTCTTCATACTCTCGCTCGTCGGGTTCGCTGGAGCCAAGGCCTTTAGCACGTATGCCATCTTCGGAACCGCTATTGTAAGTTCAGATTGGCATCATCACTGGCCTATCTTCTACATTGAATGCTGATTACGGTCTTGTATAGGGAGCAGCAATCCTAAGCATTGACATTGCCGATTTGATCGTGAGGTGGAGGACGAAGAGGTGCATCTCCCCCTCTGTGACCCTCGGGCTGGAGCTGTGCATCGGCATTGCGGGTATTATCCTCTCTGTTTTCATGGTCTTCTCCCTTGTCGATGTCTGGATGCTTCGCCGGTACTTCAACGGCGGTGGTGCGGACTCCAGCGGCTGGATTCCTTATCCCGACTACGTTGCGAATGGATACACATACGCCAGCATGGGGACCGCTGTTGCCACTCTATCAATTCTTCTTTCGTAAGTCTAGCCGCTTTTGAATTCTGATAATTTCTAAATACCCGGCTAACCGCACCTCAAGCTTGATGCACACCGCGATATTCGTTGGCAACTGCGTCGAGGTCGACCAGGTGCGCAAGGCCGGCAAGAAGTATCTGGCAGAGAGGGCCGCGGCTCAGCAGCAGCACCAAGCCCAACAGCAGAGCCGGCACCAGACTCAGACGCCCGTGTCCCGCATCCCGTCGTACCCGCAAGAACTCTCCTCTTCCGATTACAACGTCGCCGAGTTGGAGCAGAAGGTTAGAATTGACGGTATCAACATTGATAATGAAAAGGTTCACGGTAAGACTATATCCCAAAGGGTAGTGGGTAATATGCCAAGATGATATGCTAAGACGTATACTCAACCTCCAGATGTGAAAGCCTAAGAGAATGTGGACGCACGATCGATTGGAAGAGTTCTCGGCGAACACGGATACGATATTCACTAAAGTTACCTACCTACCCAACGACTTTCGTACGCTCATTGGAAAGTCGTCTAGGATGAAGTTGCTGCTACTGCGCTGGGACGGTTTATCGAGAGGAGCAGATTTAATGTTAATGATATTTCGCATCTTATGTATGATCAAGTTCGAACGTATGAGATGGTTCTGGATAGGTAACTTCGTCATTCCCTATTTCGGGTGCGTGGTATGAGTGAATACCTACCTAGGTAGAAGGCACGATATACCCCAAACAAGATATTGCACAATCAAGCTAGCCCGTTTATCAGAATCTGAATGGTAGCTAGTCTCATAATTGTTATACCACACACAGCTTGGGATCGCTAAGGTCGTTGGGGAGGGAGTCAACATAAAAGACGGACTTGGCTACATGGATGGTGCTGTGCTTGGAACCGGTTATCAGGGTGTTTAAGTTGGGTTCCTATTAGCGTTATTGGTATCATCCGGGTGACGCCTTCATCGCATAGCTTAGCTTAGGTCTGTTAGTCATATGGACGATCGACATTGCACTGACGATAGTTTCAAAGTCTCATAAAGGTGCCCGCCCCCTTTCTCAGTTATTGGATGGCGATGCAGCAGCCACCGCGCCATACGTATATGGGCTGGGCAACCTTGGCTGATGGTCAGACCTGGGAGTAAATGCAATCGGGAGAGGTATTGGGAAGTCTTTTCTAAGGTTAATAACTACCTACCTAGTAAATGGAGCACGGATGAAGTATACCTAGGTAGGTATGTAATGATGCCATGTTAATAATAATTAATCACCCTCTCTATCTCTATCTTCTAGCAACGTAGCAAATAGCGTACATGATGCACTTATTAAAGCGCAAATGCCCCAAGAATAACGTTCGGGTGCCTAGGCGAGTTGAGTCAATGCGACCGTGAAGTATAGGATTGACTTTGCTATCACGATAATCGCAACTCTGGTAGCTAGGCTTATGTGTAAACCGAGTAAGAATATTGAGACTCCTAGTCTTGGTGATCGTTTGGTTAAGCTAATATTAAACCGGTAGGTTTCATCTAAGACGAATCAACTTTGCCCTTTATCTGCTCGGTTTGAAGGAGCCCCCTCGTAAAAAGATGTTGTCCATTGCGTTTTCAATGAAACTTAGAATCAGGAAACTCAACCCCTGTCTGATTCCGAGATACTCAGCTCCAGGCGAGTAAGATCATCCGTGGAGGCGATAAATTGGCGATGTTCTGATATGTAGATAATAGTATTATTCATCCGACGTTGGTGACAAAGAAGGCCACCCTTGGTGCTTGTTGAGCATCATATGCGGGCATGGGTCTCAGGATCTTTGTTCCATGGTGTTTTATGGACGTTCGGAGGGCGAGGATGTTGATGATAAATGTGTAATGTCGTGTTGGGCATCTAATCTGTGTGTGACCCACGTGCCTGAAGCCTCGACGTGTCTAACTTTCGATGCCATGTTCTGCTTCTTTCTCTGCGAAATACCAAAGACTTGCGTAGCTTTCATCCCTTCCAGATCTCGTAAATATTAGTGCCACTCGATCGTAATCGTGAAACCGATGAGATGAAACTTTCTCCTGAACCCTCCCTTCCATGCAGAAGCTTCCAGTAACGCCATTAATTTCGTCATCGATGATCGCACTGAGGACCTGCCGACTTGAGGTCCCTGAGCATCCTATTGGATCCTTTGCCTCCCATCGGCGTGGCCTATCGCATGCCACAACCCCTTAAGTCCCCTAAATGTATGGTAGTTCGTGTCGCAAAAATCCCGCAGGATACGCAATGCTAAATATCGGGATTAAAATAGGTAGAATGGCGGAAAAAGAAACCCAGGTCCAAAAAGTTTTTATCTGTCTGCAGATGAAGAAACGTCACGCCGTCGTGATGTGTTCAAGCGTAATCCGGATGACTCTCAAAAACTAGTATTACTAGTAAGTCTCCATGACTCCCCTTTGTGCTATGGGAAGGCTGTACGAGATAAGCTGTGGGGGAAAGTCGACTGCTCATAGTCGCCTCGGAGTGAGAGGGGGGCCTTGGAAATAATTAGAAAGTTAAAAATCCTGTAAACTGAATTCGTTGGCAGCAATCTATACCCCAAGTTCAGGTTCTGGTAGCACCGAGGATTTGCTAACCAAGGATTACATCCTCTGGGAGGCCGGTCAGTCGTTCCTCAACTGCTTGATATCGTTTGTGGGTTTCCGGTGTGTTATCCTTCTCGACAACAACGACGAACTCAAGGTCCACCAGCTTGATGTTCTTGCCTTCACCCTTCTTCCATTCCTCGAACTGCTTCTGAAGTTCGAGCTCATGATCATTGGGTTTAATACGAATGATGGCTTTGTCGCGCCTGTCGACGCCTCTCACAGCGTCGCGCATCAGATAGAGTGTCTCGACATTCTCCCATGATCGCGTGATCGTCTGCCAGCAGGGCTCCGATGAAGGAGGTAAGCTAGGCGAGTCTACTTGGATAGCCAAGTTCCGAACCGCAAAACGATCAGCCTCGCAGTACTGGTGTCGGGCACAATGGCATCCGCGGCATGCACTATGGCAGGGTTCATAGATAACGATGTCGATGTCGGTCTGAACGTCTTGGATGGTCCTGCGGTCCATAAGGCCAGTCCATGGGCTGTGGAGATGAAAGCGCTTGATATAATGGAGGCGTGCAACCCACACGGATAGACCACAAGCCATGAACCAATTGGGAATGGGGTTCTGGTTACCAAAGCCTACTCCCGAATGAGCAAGCGAGGATCGGTTGCATATAT